TTTTATTTTTTTTTTTTTTTTTTTATAAGTTAAAATATTAATCTCATTTATTAATGTTCAGGCAAGTATTTATTCAAAGATCTTTAAAATATATGGAATATCTCAACATCCAAATACAAATGATATTATTTTTGTTCTAAATAGAATTTTCTAAAAGTTTGTTTGGAAAAATTAATATTACCCGGGCAAGTGGAAATAAAAAAACTGATGATTTCATTCAAGAAGTGCAATTAGGCTATGGCATAATATTTGAATGGATACCATATTATCAGTTTGATAAAATTAATGAATTAAATAAAAATGATTTTATGACAGTATATTCAGCAATATGGAAAGATGGTCCATTATACAAAAAGAACAGATTGGATAATTATTATACAAGAGATTCAAATAAAGAAGTAGCATTGAAATGCTCATATAACTCGCAAGATTCTATTGAACTTGTAATAAATAAGGTATAATATTCTTATATTAACTTTTTTTATTAAATATATTTATTTATCTCTTTTACTTATATTTCAGGCTAAAAAGTACTTAGAAAAATTTAATAGAAAAATCTTCAAACCATACGGAATATCACAAAATCCAGATACAAATGATTATATTTTAGTTCTAGTAAGTAATATTATCTGGATAAGTGGAAATAAAAAAATTGATGATTTTATTCAAAAAGTGCAATTAAAATCTAATGAATATTATCTATATGAAGTATTTGAATGGATTCCATATTATCAGCTTGATAAAATTAATGAAATAAATAAAAATGATTTGATGACAGTATATTCAGCAACATGGAAAGATGGTCCATTATATTGTGATTATGATAATTATGAATATACAAGATATTCAAATAAAGAAGTAGCATTAAAATGCTTACATAACTCACATGATTCTATTGAACTTGTAATAAATGAGGTATAGCATTTTTATAAATGTTCTTAACTTTTTCAATATAATATATTTATCTTTAGTTTATATTTTAGGCTAAAAAGTACTTGAAAGAATTTAATAGAAAAGCCTTTAAGCCATATGGAATTTCACAAAATCCAGATACAAAAGATTATATTTTAGTTCTAAATGATATTATCTGGATAAGTGGAAATAAAAAAATTGATGATTTTATTCAAGAAATGCAATCAAATATTAAAGAATATGGTGATATAGTATTTGAATGGATACCATATTGTCAGCTTGATAAAATTAATGAAATAAATAAAAATGATTCTACAACAGTATATTCAGCAATATGGAAAGATGGTCCATTATATTTTAATTGCAATAATCTTAAATATACAAGAGATTCATGTAAAGAAGTTGCTTTAAAATGCTTACATAACTCACAAGATCTTATTGAATTTGTAATAAATGAGGTACAACATTTTTATAAATATTCTTAATTTTTTTCAATATAATATATTTATTTTTGTTTACATTTCAGGCTGAATATTATTTACTAATTAGGAAAGTTAAACCATATGGAATATCTAAAAATCCAAATACAAATGATTTTATTTTAGTTTTAAATCTTACAAGCAGAAACAAATTAATTGACAATTCCTTTATTTTATACATTCCATATTCTGAGTTTTATAATATTAAAAAAATAGGTAAAGGTGGGTTTGCTACAATATATTTAGCAACGTGGAATGATAAAAAAGTTGCTTTAAAATGTTTAGATAATTTACAAAATTCTAATATTGAATTAACAAATGAGGTATAAATTGTCTTATAAATTTTTTAAATTTGTACATAATAACATATTTATTTATATATTAATGTTCTAATACTAGGCTAGAGCATATTCAACTGCTAGATCAATTGATGATAGCAATATTTTAAAAATATATGGAATATCTCAAAATCCAAATACAGAAGAATATGTTATTGTTCTTCATTATGCAAATGGTGGAGATTTTAATAATTGGATAAGTGTAAATGAAAACTTTAAATATTTTAGCTGGGAAAAGAAGTTAGGAACATTATACTTTATTGCATGTGGTCTTAAAAAAATTCATGAAAAACAGATGGTTCATCATGATTTTCATACAGGAAATATATTATTTAATATTTCTTCTATGGAGGAATATGGCAACAGAATATATATTTCTGATATGGGATTATGTAGAAAAGTTGATGATATTAATCAAAATAATATTTATGGAGTAATGCCTTATGTGGCACCTGAAGTACTAAGAGGATGTACTTATACTCAAGTAGCAGATATCTATAGTTTTGGTATGATTATGTATTTTGCATTAACTGGAAGGCAGCCTTTTGATGATCGTGCGCATGATCATCTTTTAGCACTAGATATCTGTAATGGAATTCGACCTAAATTAAATGAAACAGGAACACCAGAAGGTTATATTGATTTAATGAAAAAATGTTGGAATTCAAATCCAGAAAATAGACCTAATGTAATTGAATTAAATCTTTCACTTTTTTGCATTACCATTAATAATTTAGAAATTAAAAAAGCAGAGAATTATAGAAATTTACACCTTTCTTCTTTAATGGAAAATAGACAAACAACCACTCATCCTCAAGCTATTTATACATCTCGGTTACTTAATCCTTTTACAAAAGATCTTCCAAAATATGATAATAATTCTGAATGTTTAGACTGTGCAATTTTGGATTAGTAGATATGAATGAAACATATTATGAATGATCTTATAATTTTTTTCTTTATTTGAAAGAATATATGTTTGCACTTTATGTATTAAGAAATTTTTTTTTTTAGACTATAATATGAATTATTTATAACAAGTATAATTATCTTCTATATATTAGTATTTTTTGTCCAACATTGATTATAATAGAGTATTGTAAATGTAAGTTTCATTTTACATGAATAAAAATCAATTTGTAATTGGGAAATTTATATTATAACAGATATATTTATATTGTTTAATATATTATAATTTAATTTAATACTTTCAAGAAATCAAAGAAATAATTTCATTTTTATTTTTAATTTTATAGCTGGGAATAGGACTGGCATAAGACAATTTAACAGAAAATAGTGAGCTAAATAACTTTGAGGTTGGACTTGTAACATTATTGAAGAACAATTAATTTTAAATACTTTTTTTGTTAAATTGTATTTTTATCTATTGCTTTTTTTTTAAAAAAAAATAAAAAAATTTTTAGCAAAATCTGCCAGTTATTTTAACATCTAATCGTGACTTTTACATGAAGAATATATTGTTTAAGCATATAGAATATATAAATATATGTATTTCTGATATGGGATTATGTAGAGAAGCTGGTAATATTGATGAAACAAAACTTTATGGAATTATGCCTTTTGTATTAAGAAGATCAACAAAAAAGAGTAAATAAAGGAAGGCTTTGTTTAATGAATATGATTGAATCATCCAACTAACCAGCCATAATGATTATTATATTAATATGATATTTTGATGTGTTTATTTCATTTTATGATGATCAGACAGTGAAATTCACTGAGAAAGCGATGAATAAGCTTTCTCCAATGATAGATAAACTAGCAGAAAATCAATTCAAGAAGTTAGTGGAATACGACCTAACTACTATATCGTAAATATAGTTACAAGGAGAATGCCCTTTATGTCTAGATTATATTTTGAATGGACCTTTACATGATTTTTGTAAACATGTGCATACAGACATGAATATGTAATGATTACTTAAAATCACCAAATTATGACGAATTTATTGAAAATATAGCAAACAAATTAGTTACTTATTTTAAGAATAAGTTACCAAATTCTAGCAAAAATTTATTGATTTACAATGGAAATACTAGCGGAGCATACCAGGAAATAATCCGGTTATGTATATAATTTACAAGGCATGTATTAAAAATTTAATTGTTAATAATTATTATCATATATAATTATATTTATTTATACTCATTTTTATAACTTATATGTTTAGGAAATTCAGTTTTTATTGAACGATCTACTTTAAATCATATAAATGATCCTTTCTGCTGACCAGATGGCTTAAACATTCATACATAAAGTAATTATAGTACTCTATCAAAGCCCTTTAGCTAAAACCAAGAAAAAGAAATCCATTACAAATTCCCATCTAATTTGCCATTAAATTCCATTTTCTGCACAAAAAAGACAAACTAAACAGATATGACAAAATTTGTGAAAAAGTAATGTAACAAATAGAGAACAATTAATAATTTTAATTGGTTTTATATTTTAATAATTGTTGTTTAATTTATCGTTTCTATTATCTATTAGAATTTTCATAATAATGAGAATATACAAATATCAGTACAATTTCCAATAATACTCAATCTATTTTACCAGTTCCCGCTGTAATTTCAGTCAACGCGGACCGATCGGACCATGCCATAGATCATGATCAGAAATTTTCAAACAAATATAAACAACTGCTGTTCGTATGAAATTTTAATTATTTCAATTGATATTGAATGTTGATATCAATATTAACTTTCATGTTTAAAACGCTTCTTCCTTTTAGGAATTCACTAAATCCAGCTATAGGCAATTACGTACGGTAATTTGTTACACAATTTGATGAATCTATTTGCCTTCGTTTTTTTCTAAAATATTATCGGTACAACACGATAATCTGATTCGATGTGTCACGTGTTCAGGAGCGCGCATTTCCGACACTATTCAAATTTTGTCGCTTCAAATAGTTGTTTTTTTTTCATATGACAACCTTCCTCTTCAAAAATAAATAAATAAATAAATAATTCAAGCTTTTTTGGCTTTTTTAGATACTTCCCGATAAGAAAAAATTTTTTCTTTAGTATTTAGAAAGCGAGGTGTCATCTTTTTTGGTACTTGTGTATTTCTTTAATCTTTTATAGTAGTATTGCACGAAGACTAATAATGTATGGTTTATTGAATTTTTAAGTTTTCGGGAAATTTTAATAGCTTCTATTTCAAGGCGTGTGCGGATAAATTTTTGGGAAAAACTTATATGTAATTTATAATATAAATTAATACATATCAGAAAATAAAATTAAGAAGTCCGAATTAATCTAAAATACTCGGTGTTTGATTCATAACTGGGCCATTTAAAAAAAAATTTCTAATGATAAACTTTTATGATATTTTGCATAAGTTAATTGATGGCACACCCTCGTTAATATTTATTGCAATATGAAATATGAAATAATTTTAATACGTTGGAATTATAAAAGAATCAGAATTATTTAGTAGTAAGTGTTAAATGCTGAAGATATTATTTATATTTGAATATTTATTGGCAACTGGATTTACTATACAATTTCTTTTTTTTTTTTAATATTAGTTGTACGATTATATAATCAACTCGTGATTTAGAAAACAAAATATTCAAAAAAGAAAATAATATTCTTTTTCACAAAGTATAAATACTGTCTCTTATACACATCTAGATGTGTATAAGAGACAGGTATAAATATTCATAAATATATTCATTCTACTGAACATCAATATATATATATATATATATATATTAATATTTATTATTTTACTTATTAATAATTAATTAGACAACCGTTACTTATGATGTAATCATAAATAATTTTATACCTAAAAGAGTGCTTTGTCCAGAAAGTAATTTAAAAGAATTCCATATTTCCATTTTCTGAAAAAAAAAATTTTCGCGAAATATTTATAAAAATAAATCATTTTATACCGTATCACAACTATCACATGAAATATTGAAGATTGTCCTGTGAATAAAGACTAACTTAAAATTTAAATTCTATATACGTTAGATCTACGTAAAGTGTACAAATTTGAAACGGCCTAACCATAGATAACTAGAAAAGTATTATTTATCAGTCACATGCGATATTTTCGATGATCATTTATATAGCTTGTAATAAAATTTTTTTTTTATAAAAAAAAAAAAAATTTGTTTAGACAATAATGACGTCGTTTCAGAAAAGTGTGGATTGTGTGAAATATTTAAAGAATAATTTTACAAGTAGGACCAGTGGAAATAAAGAAATTGATAATTTCATTCAAGAAATACAATTAAAAACTGGTTACTATGACGATTATATAATATTTGAATGGATACCATACGATCAATTTTATGATATTAAAGAAATAGATAAAAATGGTTTTATAACGGTATATTCAGTAACATGGAGAGATGGTCCATTATATTGGAACAAACAAAATAACAAATATGTAAGAGTTCCAAATAAGAAAGTTGCATTAAAACGTTTACATAATTCACAATATCTTATAAATTTTTTAATAGATGAGGTATAAAGTTTTTTTTTTACGATATTTTTTATTATATACATTTTTTTAATATAATGTATTAATTTCTTTTATTTATATTCTAGGCTAAAAAATATTCAACGGAAAAATTTTGTCATGATATTACTGAAATATATGGAATATCTCAAAATCCAACTACAAATGATTATATTTTAGTTCTAAATAATTCCATAAATCTAGTAAAGTGGACGAGTGGAATTAAAAAAATTGATGATTTCATTCAAGAAATGCAATTAAGAGTAAATAAAAATGATGATATAATATTTGAATGGATACCATACAGTCAGTTTAATGAATTTAAAGAAATAGGCAAAAATGGTTTTATGGCTATATATTCAGCGATATGGAAGAATGGTCCATTACATTATATTGATCGCTATAATGCATATGGTAGAAATTCGAATAAAAAAATTACCTTAAAATGTTTACATAAATCGCAAAAAACCATCGATAAAGTTTTAAATAAGGTATATAGTAATCTTGGATATTTCATATATTTATTTTTTAAGAGTATAAAATATTAATCGCTTACTTTTATTCATGTTTTTAGGCAAGAATATATTCAAAGATCCTTGAAGTATATGGAATATCTCAAAATCCAAATACGAAAGATTTTATTTTGGTCTTAAATAATATAAATTGGCCAAGTGGAAATAAAAAAATTGATAGTTTTATTCAAGAAATGCAATTAAACAATAAATATGATGGCATAGTATTTGAATGGATACCATACGATCAATTTGATAAAATTAAAGAGACGAGTAAATATGGATCTATAACAGAATATTCAGCAATATGGAAGGATGGTCCATTATATTATAAAAGAGATTCAAATAAAGAAATTGTTTTAAAATATTTACATAACTCACAAAATTCCATTGATTTTCTGATTAATAAGGTAAAATTTCTCAAAATATTTTTAATTTTTTTTTTATATACTGTATATATATTTTGTAAATAAATAATTAATTATGTCTTTTGTTTATATTTAGGTTAAGAAGTATATAAAAAATTATAGATATGATAATTTTCTTAAATTATATGGTATATCTCAAAATCCAGATACGAAAAATTATATTTTAGTTCAAAGTAATTCAATAAACTGGATGAGTAAAAATGAACAAATTGATGATTTCATTCTAGAAATGCAATTTAAATCAAATGACTTCGCTACTTTAGTATTCGAATGGATACCATATGATCAATTTGATAAAATTAAAGAAACAAGCAAAATTAAGTCTGTAACAGTATATCAATTTGATAAAATTAAAGAAACAAGTAAAAATAAGTCTGTAACAGTATATTCGGCAATGTGGAAAGATGGTCCGTTATATAACAAATTACATGATAGAAATTCAAATAAAGAAGTTGCGTTAAAATGTTTACACAACTTACAAAATCCCGTTGAATCACTAATAAATAAGGTACTAGAATTTATATTTGTATTTCAATTTGTTTTTCTTTAACATACTTTATTTATCTTTATCATTTTCATTTTAGGCAAAAATATATTCAAAGATTCTTGATATATACGGTATATCTCAAAATCCAGACACAAATGATTATATTTTGGTCTTAAATAATGTTACCTGGGAAAGTGGAAATAAAAAAATTGACGATTTTATTCAAGAAATGCAATTGAAATTTAACGATTTATTATTTGAGTGGATACCACACAATCAGTTTAATGAAATCAATAAAATAGGCAAAAGTGGGTTTTCCACAATTTATTCGGCAATATGGAAGGACGGTCCTATATTCAAGAAAAATCAACAAAATGGAAATTATACGAGAGATTCAAATAAAGAAGTTACTTTAAAATGTTTAAATAAATCACAAGATCCTATTGAATCTGTAATTAATGAGGTATACCATTTTTACAAATATTCTTAATTTTTTTTTAATATAAAGTATTTATTTATCTTTCTTATATTTTAGGCTAAAAAATATCTAGCAAAAGAAATTGATAGAAAAATCTTTAAACCATATGGGATATCTCAAAATCCAGATACTGCTGAATTAATTTTGGTTTTAAATAATATTACTTGGAAAAATGGAAATAAAAAAATTGATGATTTTATTTTAGAAATGCAATTGAAATCTAATGATTTATTATTTGAATGGATACCATACAGTCAATTTAATGAAATTAAAACATCAGGCGAGAGTAGTTTTGTTACAATATATTCAGCAATATGGAAGAATGGTCCTATATGCAAGAACAATCAGCAGAATGGGAATTATGCAAGAGATTCAAATAAAGAAGTTACTTTAAAATGTTTAAATAAATCACCTATTGAAACTGTAATTGACGAGGTACGCCATTTTTATAAATATTCTTAATTTTTTTAATATAATGTATTTATTTATCTTTCTTATATTTTAGGCTAAAAAATATTTAACAAAAGAAATTAATAGAAAAATCTTTAAACCATATGGAATATCTCTAAATCCAAATACAAATGATTTTATTGTAGTTTTAAATAATATTACTTGGATGAGTGGAAATAAAGAAATTGATGATTTTATTCATGAAACACAATCAAGAATTAATGATTCATTATTTGAATGGATACCATACAATCAATTTAATGAAATTAAAGAAATAGATAAAAATGAATTTATGACAGTATGTTCAGCAATATGGATTGATGGTCCGTTATGTAGGAACTGGCTAAGTGAATATACAAGAGATTCCAATAAAGAGGTTACATTAAAATGCTTAAATAACTCACAAGATCTTATTGAATTTGTAATCAATGAGGTATAAACATTTTTAGGCTTCTTAATTTTTTTTTTTTAATACAATATATTTATTTTTTTTATTAATATTTTAGGCTAAAAGATATTCAACAAAAGAATTTAACAGAAAAATCTTTAAACCATATGGAATAACTCAAAATCCAGATTCAAATAACTTTATTTTGGTTCTGAGTAATATTACCTGGATAAGTGGAAATGAAAAAGTTGATGTATTTGTTCAAGAAGCACAATCAAGAGTTAGTGATTTGTTATTTGAATGGATACCATATAACCAGTTTAATGAAATCAAAGAAATAAGCAAAGATAATCATACTTCAGTATATTCAGCAATATGGAAGGATGGTCCAATATATAGGAAGAATCAATGGAATGAAAACTATATGAGAGATCCAAATAAAGAAGTTACTTTAAAATGTTTAAATAATTCAAAAGAACTTATTGATTCTGTAATAAAAGAGGTACATTATTTTTTTCTAATTATTTTAATTCTTTTATAAAGATATATTTAACTTTTTTTCCTTGCATTTTAGGCTAAAAGTTATTTAACAAAAGAATTTAATAAAAAAATCTTTAAACCATATGGAATATCTCAAAATCCAGATACAAATGATTTTATTTTGATTTCAGACAATATTACCTGGACAAGTGGAAATAAAAAAATTGAAGATTTTATTCAAGATGTTCAATTAAAAATTAATGATTCATTATTTGAATGGATACCATACAATCAGTTTAATGAAATTAAAAAAATACGTAAAGGTGGTTTTGCTACAGTATATTCAGCAATATGGAAGAATGGTCCATTATACAATAATAATCAATTGAACGAAAATTATGCAAGAGATTCAAATAAGAAAGTCGCCTTAAAAATTTTAGATAATTCACAAAATCTTTCCAGCGAATTTCTAAATAAGGTATAGTAAATTTCTCTTATAAATTTATAAATTATATTAAATAATATTTTTTTTATTTATATATGTTAATATTTTAATAGGTTAAAGTATATTTAACTAAAATGGTTAATAAGAATAACATCTTAAAAATATATGGAATGTCTCAAGATCCAATTACAAAAGAATATATTATTGTTCTTTATTATGCAGAAGGTGGAAATTTTAATAATTGGATAAGTGTAAATGAAAATTTTAAATGTTTTAGTTGGAAAAAGAAGTTAAGAACATTATTTGATATTGCATGTGGTCTTAAAGATATTCATGAAAAGCAGATGGTTCATCATGGGTTTCATACAGGAAATATATTATTTAGTAATATTTCTATGGAAAATATTAATAAAATATTTATTTCGGATATGGGATTATGTGGAAAAGTTAATGATGTAAATAAATCTAATGTTTATGGAGTTATGCCTTATGTAGCCCCTGAAGTATTAAAAGGAAGACCTTATACTCAAGTAGCAGATATCTATAGTTTTGGTATGATTATGTATTTTGTGGCAACTGGTAGACAACCTTTTGATAATTGTTCACATAATTTCAATTTGGCATTAGATATATGTAAAGGAATTAGACCTAAATTAAATGAACCAGAAGCACCAAAAAGTTATATTAATTTAATGGAAAAATGTTGGAATTTAATTCCAAACGATAGACCCAATATAATTGAATTATGTCAATCACTTTGGTCTATTTCTATTAATAATTCAGAAATTGAAAAAGCAGAAAATTATAGAAATTTACATCTTTCTTCTTTAATGAAAAACAGACAAATAACTATTCATTATCAAGCTATTTATACATCTCGATTTCTTAATTCTTTTATTAAAGATCTACAATGAGCAAATCTTAAAATGGATAGTATAAATGAAGTACAGTATATATTATAAATGATTTTTACAGATTTTTTTTATCAACATTTTATTGAAAGAATATTATCATATACCAAAAAATGTTTTCTTTATATTTTTTAAATATACTGTAGTTATTAAGAATTATTTTTAGGTAAGTTATTAAGCTATATATTATATTAGTATTTTTGTCCAACATTGATTAAATAGAGTATCGTGAATGTAAGTTTCATTTTAAATAAATAAAATCAATTTGTAATTGGGCAAATTAAATTTAATATTGTGACATCTTATTATTTTTAAAGTATTTTAAATGTAGTATATTAAGTAAGAATTATTTACAATTCATTAAACTTGATTTTGATTTGAATCAACTTGGTTTGTATTTTAGTTTACTCATATCTTAAGCTTGAACTCTAAAATATAATTTAGCTTCAAATTGAATTTAATTCGTAAACTTTAAAATTTATTGTTTAATAAATCTATATTAGAAATGTAGCTATATATAAGTAAGATACATTAACATTCATATTGATAGATTTGATTACTTTACATTAATTTCCTTATTAAACTTGAATGTCAAAATCTCTATATGAATATATTTGGGATTTGACAAATATATGCTGAAATATAATTTTTGGAATTTTACCAAAATCTCAAATCCCAAATCCCAAATCTCAGATCTCAAATCCCAAATAAATTGTCGAAGTTGGTGAAATCCAAATTATTGGCCAAATTCTAAAAGTTTAAATTGTAACTGAATTAAATTAACCCAGATGCATAAAAACTAATCATTATTTATATTAGAAGTATAAATATATAGTTATAGATTATAAACAAGCACTCATAGAATAAATTTATGTAAGTATATGAGAATTTTACGAAAAAAATGAAAATGATCAATCTAAAAATCAATCAATGATCAAAAATTGAAAATCAATCGGTAAAACGATTGGTCCCATATTACCACATAATTCACTTTCACCTTTCTTTTTTTTTTGTTTAACTAAGTAAATATAAAAATAGAAAAGAAAGGGTAATTAAAATAACGTCCTTGACCAAAAAATTTGAAACATCTTTATGCAATGATGAAAAAAGAGGTGTTAAAAGTAATGGTGCAAAACAATACTAAAAGGTTTCAGGCGAAATGGGGTTTTCGAAATTTTTTTCATTAGACATAAAGGTAGAATCCAAACATAAGGCGTAATACGATATGGCAAAAATTGGGCGAAATCCAAATAAGGAAATATAATAAAAAAAATTGTTTATATAATATAATTTATAATTAAAAAATAAATTAACTTATAATAATAATTAATTATGTTTCTAAAAAGTTTGCATTATTTTATTGAGAGTTTATTTGATTTGTACATTTTTATCTTTAGTTATTATTCGTATCGTGTTACCTCATTTTAAAAACGTAATACAAGATCATCTGAAATTATCTGGCGCTAATAAATTATCCTATTTGGATTATTAGAATTAGTTTTTTATTTGATCACCATTAAAAGATATTTCAAGCCAGAGCGGACACAATTGCACTTATTTTTACACTTGTTTAAACACATATTTTACACTTAAAGTATGATTTTAAACGTTTATTTTTACATTTAAATGTTTATAATTTTTTTTTTTACAAATTTAGAATTTCTATTAAACTATTATAATTTTTTTTATAAATTTAGATTTCTATAAGAATTCTTTCTTGTAACACAATATTCAAATGTGGAAATCTAGATAATAAATGATTAAAAATAAAATTTAAACAAGAAAATAAATGTTTAAACCTCATTTTAGACGCCTTAGCAAGCAAAAAATAAATACATTTTTGTCTGTCCTGGTGTGTAATATAAAATAGTATGATCTAAATTAGCTATCGAACTGATATTAAGTGACGTGAATCTAGGTGCATGATCAGATGGTTCCATTGCATCGCCAAATCCATCAAGCTCTTCAAATTCATCAAATTCGTCTATAACAAACACTTGAGATTTGAGTACAATGTCGCAAATCATCAGCCGTAATTTCTTTTCCGTAAAAAGCCATTACTTTTTTAACATTTGTTATTCAAAAAGAACGCATCATCAATTCTACTAATATCTAAACGAGTTCTGCGATGCTTCATTAGGTGTAATTGAAAACATCTTGATCGCAAGAAACAAAAGGCATTTCTCTTGATACCAAGCAAATTGTGTTTCAGATTTTGAATCATAATCCAAATTAAATGGAGGATTTTTTCGTTTGAATTGCCGCAGTTGAATTAATAAATGATAAGAATTATTTCCTCCATGACCATGTGCTTGCCGATATTTAGTTGCAATACGGCATGCAATTTGAAAAGCTTTATCATTTAATTAACGTCCTAAAATTGATAATTAATTCGTACTGTATTTTACAATGGAATTGAATAAAAAATTGAAATAAAATTAATGATGGCACGATATAATGGATGTAAAGAATAAAAATTTACTTAAAGTCAACCGTTATAATATTGATAAATAAAATACGCAATTTATTAGCATAAGAAAGTAAAATATGGCGCCTTAGTAATTCATTATAATAAATAATAAAATTAAAAAAATGCATAAAATTACAAATTGTTTCGCGATCGAAAATATAATTACCCAAAATAATCATGTGCACTGATCATGTGCTACCTTGGTTGATGCTGATTTTTCGCGTACTATCGTCTATCGCATCGACATTAATTACAGAATTTATAGTATTTGTAGATAGTGTTAAAAAAAAATAAGAAAAAACTATGGAAATTTGTAAAATACTTTTTTTTAAAAAAAATATCAATTTATTTTTTCTAAATTTATAAATATAAATTTATAACAAGCAACAATTCAATAATTTTTGTAATAACTTATTAATTATAACTAGAATATGCGATTTGCTGGGGGACTTCGTCCCCCAAATATAACATTTATAATTAAAAAAAATTCTTTGATATAAATAAATTGAATTGTTACTGAATAATAAAATTTTATTATAATTAGACCCTATAAAAAATCATGTTTTAATAAGATTTATACAATTTTTTCTTAAAAATAATGTATCTAAACTATATATAAGGATATAGGAAAATGCACAATTCCATATCACAAAAATGCACCATGTGTATGATTGACCATAATTTATACTGAATTTATATTGATTTGATCAAAGAAATTA